GTACGACCAGCAATTGTTGCTGAATCCACATCTAAATCAGAATTCACTTGGGGCACCATCAGTGAGTGAGCGAGCTTAGTTTTATGCCACTTATAAAATATTCCTGCAATATCCTGACAGGGACTGCAGAAATGGGCTTCACACATTGTGCCTATGAGGAGAATCGAACCCAGGTCTTTGGCATGACGAGTGAATGCTTTAACCACTAGGCTACCCCACTGCCCCAGGGCTCAGAGAGAACAGGTAACACTTTAACAAACTTTGACTTTAAGGAAGTGATTTAAAATGTTGCTTTGCATTTGTTGTTTGTTTGCTTGATGGCACGCTAAGAAATATTCCAGCTGTATGAAGGCTGTGTGTAAATAATCAAGTCTTGACAATTGACATCATGAGTTACAGACTACGCAGTTGGACATGATGAAATATTGCATCCATCCAATCAGTGAGTCTGACCAACAGATTCCATTAGTTGGCTCTTATGACTCATGGGTTGCTGAATGACTGACTGAGTTTAGTTTTATGCCGCTTTTAGCAATATTCCAGCAACATCAAGGCGGGGGACACCAGAAATGGGCTTCACACATTGTACCCATGTGGGGATTCGAACCCGGGTCTTCGGCATGATGAACCAACGCTTTAACCACTAGGCTACCCCACCGTGCCGGGTTGCTGAATGAATATGAGGCTTTGTTCAATGAACCTCCAGTAGAAACTGGTGGTAAATGTAAGTCAAACATATTTGCAATTTAAGTATTTAAGCACAGTTTGAAATTTGCTGCATTCATGATATTAATACCTGCCTCCATGGGACATATAACCTAAGCATATAATGTGTGTGAGTGAGTTTATTTTTACGCCACTTTTAGCAATATTCCAGCAATATTACTGGCGGGGACACCAGAAATGGGCTTCACATATTGTGCCCATGTTGGGAATCAAACCCGGGTCTTCGGCGTGATGAACGAATGCTTTAACCTCTAGGTTACTCCACCGCCCCCCTGTCTGTAACCTGGAATCCCCACAGATCAATCAACAACGGTTGTTCAAAACCATTTCTAATCTGGTATATTTAGTTACTATCAAAATTGCATATGTTCAGAGACTAAGCGTTACTTCACCTTGACTTTTCCATCCTGGTGGTTGCCTTTCAAATAAGCATGGTCAGCTGAAGACTATTCCTGACCCTGATCTTTATGGGGCCAATTACGATGTTGGGACACAAACTTCCAGTTTTACAGTTACTATTGTTTCATGTAGTCTCACAGTCCCTGAACCAAATTATTTTCCCTACAGCCTAGCCTTCCCTGCAATGCTAAAGTCCTAAATGAAGCAAATCTAAATTTCCCCAGGTAAAGGCTGAATTTCTGGTCTCCCTGGTGCTCCATTTTAATTTAAATGGGTTTATTTACAATCAAAAATAGATATATTCAGAAACTAAGTTTTAGTCTATGTTTCATGCAACTTTGGGCAAAATTCCATCAAACATAATATATCTGAATGGCATTTTGAAGTGAAACAAAACAGGAAGAGCAGCTTATGTTATGTAAGCTCTCTACTTCCTAACTTTCAAGAGTGAGTGAGTGTGTATGGTTTTCCGCCATTTTTAGCAATATTTCAGCAATTTCATAGTGGGGGAAACCAGAAATGGGCCTAACACATTGTACCAGGTGTGGGGAATCGAACCCGGGTCTTCGGCTTGACAAGCTAACACTTTAACCAGTAGGCAACAAACCGTCCCCTTAGTAAACTTTCAACAAGTAAGACTTATTTACTCTAAATGTTGTGTTCTTCATGATGGTGGCTGCAGATAATCGAGCAATAAAGAACAGGGTTGAATCCAGCAACCCATGCGACCAATGCCATTGGGTGGCCAGTTAAACAGTTAAACTATTCACCCACTCAACTGCCAAAGTCATGATATTAAAGACAACTTCAATCTTTCATTTTTCATACTAAACTACTTCTTTCACAACCAGACCCTGAAACAAACATATCCAAGAAAGCCCATGCAAGTCTAGATTTCCAGATTCAGGAAATGACGAAAGTCTCAGGGCTCTTTTCCATTATATTCTATTTTTGTTATTATGAAGTGGGGTTTTTCTGTAGAGTATGTTCATTTTAGAGACCAGTTGTTAGTCTAAACCATAAGGTTCTCTTTCATTTCCATTGCAGTGTATCATTACATCTCCCAGCTGTGAGATTGGGCACCACTTAATCAATGCTAGCAGTCAGATCATATCAACATCGTGTCAGATCATATCAACATCTGATACACAAGAAACATTAAAGCCTGATATGAAGGTTGTTTACTGGGCATATTGTATCTAGCTCAGTGTAGCAGCAAATTATGATCTGACAACAACTTCAGAGTTGAATTTCAGGTGTCATGTATATATGAAATGAATCTATAATTTCAATACAGATTCAAGAAAATAAGGAAATAGCACGTTCAAATGTACTTTCACATTATTGAGTGATACCTTTTTTCATGTCGCTGACAGCAATATTCATACTATACCATGAAGGCCAGTAAACTATGAAGGAGAGAGATTGAGATTGAGATTGAGATTGAGAGAGATTGAGATTGAGAGAGAGAGACAGAGAGAAAGAGAGAGAGATTGAGAGCGAGAGAGCGAGAGAGATGAAACGAAAACATGACAGCATAAAATTACATAGCTAATGGTTATTTACTGAAAAGAATTTGGCAACATATGCTATGGTGTAGTATAAGTAATCCATTAATGACTCGTAGCTACATGAAGGCTAAACTGGTTGGTTTGGGTACTTAACAGTCAGTTATTTGTAGTCTAGTGGTTTTATTTATTCACTTGTTATTCCAAGCTATTTCTTGAGATATTCCAGGGAAACGTAAGCGAAAGACGTACAATCTCACTGAACTGGAACATATGAATGATGTTGATTGTTGTTTAATACCACACTTAAGAAAAATATATTCCAAATTAAAAATGAAGTCTTGACCAGGCAATTAAATGAATGACTTCATGATCATCTATCCACTGAACTGGGATATGATGATATCCTATTTAACTGGCCATGAGTCTAAAACTTAGTCCATTTAGTTAACTCCAGTCTCCTTAAAATCAGATCTTTGAGTGTGCTTTTTTTAACTGCTACACATAGATTTGATTCCAGACACAAAGATATCGCATCAGATTAAGTATATTGCATACAGAACAAGGATCATAACCTGAACACATGTGGGTTTCAAACCCATGAAAAGATCCTGGTTGCTAAGGGAGGCAACTCTGCAACATAATAACTGTTAAATAACACACCCCATCCCATATTGTCAAACACTGAAAAAAATGAATTGTAATTGTTTCACCCTTATGTTGAGCATGGTTTATTGTTTGGATTTTGCATTTAAAATATGCACATCATCATCATCATCATCACCACTGTCATCATCATTATTATTACTATTATTATTATTATGGTGGTATAACTAGATCTGAGATTATAAATATACTACTCACACTTTGATAAGGATCACAAATATTCACAACTTTACTTAAACATAGATTTATAATATAAAATTGGATCCATTCAAAACCATGAAAACTGGATAAATAATAATGGTAACCCCTCTTTAGACAAACAATCACTTTAATCTAACATTATGCACTTGATACATGAGCAACCATAAAAATGGTTTTCATGGCACCAATCAACCATTTTGCAAATCATGGAACGAGTCATTGACAAATAAACAACACCGGTCAACAGCAGGTATGGGATCCACAAGATGCAATGACATACTGAAACCTAGGATCCAATAAGCTTAGATATTTAAACCAAATTTGACCCCACATCATAGTTTTCTGTTGAATCCATGATCTGATCCTTAGCAAAGTGTGAATAGTATATGTGCAACTGAGCAACTGCATTAAACTAAAATTCTGTCTGATCCTTTCTCAAATATACTTTCAAACAAGGTAATACGTCTTTAGTTGAATCTGTCTGGTACACTCTGCATTGCTCACAAGCCACAGAGAGCCACAAAAACCACAAAATGGTATATGAGCTATCAAATTGACAATTTCTGGGGCAACATAAGCCGTCTGTTTCAACTCTTAGATCAGTTTCAAAGCTTTTAAAGTCTCTTTGATAATCTATTTTTAGCCTCTGGACAGCTGTTGGGATTGGAATGAGCTTATTTCTGTGTCACGATGTGAAGTAGACCGGAAAATCTCATTCCAAGCTTTGCAGCCACTTCCTGATTACATGTCTGAGATAGAGCTAGTTGACAATGTTGAATTGTTGTCTGAATGTCTTTGATAATCACTGCTATTTGAGTTGTGGAAGGAAAACCCAAAGTGATGCATGGCCACGTCATTTTCCACTTCCATGACACGTTTAACCAATATAAGGCACGTTACATTACGTCTTACATTAATGAAACTTCCTAAGGGAGAAGAAACCTTCCCCAGAATAAGTCCCCAGTACCCCAAAGGTGTCTATCTGTCAAAGATGCTGGGCAGAATTGGTTCCCAGTACACTAAGCTTGTCTTCTTGTTGGGGGCCAGGGCAGAATAGGTCTCCAAATGTTTCAAGATGTCATGGTGCCAGGCAGAATGAGTACCCAATACCCTAAATGTGTGGGTGTGCCATGCCAAAACAGGTCTAAACGGGTACCCCTGTGGGTGTGCCAGGGCAGAATGGGTCCCCAGTACCCCAAATTTGACTCTCTAAAGGTATGAGTGACCTGACCAAATGTGTAATCTGATACCAGGGTTGTTGGTCTTGCTGTCAACCAGTTGTCATGACTTGTTGAGTTTCATGTTGCATAACACAAACATGGCTGTGGCATGTACAATCACTTGTCACTTTGTCACGGGGAAGACCCGGGTTCGAATCCCCACATGGGTACAATGTGTGAAGCCCATTTCTGGTGTCCCCCGCCGTGATGTTGCTGGAATATTGCTGAAAGCGGCGTAAAACCAAACTCAGTACTCTGGTTGACAACACATTGAACTCACCTGGATCATGGAATGGAACAAGAACATAGTTATACAGAGGTTTTTCTTTGCGGGCCAGAGCTGTTGCCAGGATCGTAGCAGCACCTTCTGTCACCTGTACCAAGTCATCGTACATCGATCCCGTTATGTCAAACACAAATGCTAACGACGCTGCTCCGAGAGGAATGTCATCCTGCGATGCCACAAACACACACGTAAACGCCACGAAACTGACAACAACCACCTGCATCCAATGCTGTGTCAAACACCTCATCTTGTCATGTAAGTCCACAGCTATCCTGAGAACATCCGAATATTCCTGGATTTATCTTCTTAAACCGTATCTACCTGTTAATTGCAAACTACAGGTAGCTCTAACTCAATTACACAATGTGCAAGTACTCCTCTGCTTGGCAATAGCAGCAGGATCAGCTGATCTCAAGCATGCTTCCGCTGGGATTTATCACAAACACGTGCTCACGGTTTTCTCAGAAACTCAAACTTGGTTGTCAAGTACAGAACTTTATCTTAGATCTTGCTACCATCTTGACATCAAAGGACTTCACTAAATCTTCATTAGATGTGTTTAGAATCACATTCACATTTCTTGATGACTCTTTTCCAAACAACACAATTTTTCACACTTGGATTATGATGAAAACTGAATTTTCTTGAGTATGTTCTATAATGTGCATAAATGCACATGCGAACAATGCTTGAACAGATCTCAAGTAGTGACTTAGAGGACAGTAGGCATACTCCACAGTATCTCCTAGCCGTCTGCTCTGTGCCTCTGCTACTTGCCGTCTGCTTGTGAGTGAAGTGACATGGATACAATTACGCTCCCCGTCTTTCAACAAGCCTCTTTTCCTGCAGTGCCACTGATTAGAATCTTGGCCAGTTCCATGCAACCGCAGGGGGGACAGCCAGTCATGGGCTTCATCTCAAAGTTGTAAACAGGTCTTATATGGCTTTCAAATGATTATGTCACCCCTGAAAGTGGACTGGTCTATTGGTTGGAGGAAGGGTTGTTGCTCTCTTGATGCTTAACAGCTCACATTCCACTCTTGGCTTGTTGCTAATTTGTTTCCAAAACAGCCCCACAAATATTAAATAGGTTTTCAATTTTTTTTTCCATCTTAGATCACTGGAAGTTGTATAACACTGCTGTATTGCCAACCTGTTAATATAACCATGTATGATTGTGTGGTCTGTATGGACACAGATCTTCAACTAGCTGATTAGAAATTATCTACAAATATCTGAGCAAGTGCTTTAGGAGCCCAAAGTTTTCAAGGTACTTACAAGTGTTCGCAGTGTCAGTTTCCTGGAAACTATCCTGACAAAGTCTGACAAAGTAGTTCAAACCTCACACAGTGAGTTAGTGAATCCATTTAAGTTCTATAAATACTTTGAAAAGTATTTCAATTATAACCAAAGTCATCTCACAAGTCTGTAGTGGTGTTCCGATGATCGAAAATAAAATCGAAAATTGATTGAAAGAAGGATTAAAAATGATTATCGATTGTAAAAAAAATATTTTTGATTAATTGGATTTTTGTTGTTTTTGTATAACACCCTTGAATTAAGTATACTAACCATTTTAAATTGATGAATATTCACGAACAAACATGCGCTCAACAGTGTAAAGCTATGCGCTTTGTAAAATTTTAACCACTTTTATTGTTTAATTACAATTCCAAGGTCTTACTTGCATGCATTTCATTGCATGACAGTATTAGTTATAATAAAAACATTAGAAAACACCTGGGGAAAAACCCTTAAAATTGGTGATTACATTAAAAATGTATATATTTCGATTATAAATCAATAATAGTTCACCACAAGTCCTCCGATAATCGATAGTGGATTTGGTTTCCAATTCCCAACACTACGAGTCTGGAAGTATTTGACAAGGATTGTATTATCGCCCCATGTCAATTAGGTAGGGAAGCTAGAAGCTGAACAGTGAAATAGATGGTCATCATCATCTAAGTCAAACTAATGAGCATCTACTTACTCTGAGCAAGAACCTTATGGCCAAGAGTTCACTTTCAAGGGGCACCTGTCCAGACAGCTATCACAGTGCAACATCTACCATTCCATGCTAAAGTAACAGAGCTTCGACTGTCAGCATGAGGACTGTCATTTGTCTGTGCTAAAGTATGGGAGCCTAACAAGAACTGTCTTAGTACTGTGACCGTCAATCTATGCTGAAGTATAGGAGACACTACTATCTTAGTTTGAAGACTTATTAGTCTATGCTAATGTACAGGGTTAGAATTGATGCTCAGTAACCCACGCTTGTCGTTAGAGGGGACTAATGAGTGAGTGAGTGAGTTTAGTTTTACGCCGCATTCAGCAATATTACAGCTATATGGCGGCGGTCTGTATATAATCGAGTCTGGACCAGACAATCCAGTGATCAACAGCATGAGCATTGATCTGGGCAATTGGGAACCGATGACATGTGTCAAGCAAGTCAGCGAGCCTGACCACCCAATCCTGTTAGTCGCCTCTTACGACAAGCATAGTCGCCTTTTGTAGCAAGCATGGGTTGCTGAAGACCTATTCTACCCTGGATCTTCACGGGTCAGAGGGGACTAATGGGATTGGGTGGTCAGACTCACTTACTTTGTTGACTCATGTCATCGCATAGATCCCAATTACGATATGCTCATGCTGTTGATCACTGGATTGTCTCCTCCAGACTTGTTTATTTACAGACCGATGCCATATAGCTGGAATATTGCTGAGTGCGACGTAAAACTAAACTCACAGCTACTTTATCTTAGCTCAACGACTGTCATTATGCTGAACCGAAGAATGAGCTACTTTTGCCTGAAAACAACACCAGTAAAATGCAGGGCTCCAGATAAATTTTCAACATCAGGAGTACGTACTCCTTATTTTTTCAATATAGGAGTACTGGAAAAATTTAAGAGTACATTTAGAGTACTGAATTGAATATAATGTAGTATCAGTAATCTTGTGTTTCGTTTCATACATGCACCGCAACATTGCTACTCTTATCTAAACTGGTCAATAAACAATAAAGTAATACTTTTTCAGATGCATACATCTGTAAATGATTCTAAGACCGTATCTGCTACGTTTTCTAAATTATTTCCTACTGTATTGTGCATATTTTTATCCATACATACTCGGATATGGCCCTTATCTGGAGCCCTGAAAATGTCTAAGTAACAATGATCGTAGCCCTACAAGTGCTGAAGTATGGCGGATATTGAGGACTTAGAGCTACAATCAAAAACTCTTTTAAAGTATGGTATGGCGTCAGCACTATGACAGTTTCAAGTCAGTTTCAAGTCAGTTTCAAAGTAATGTATGTAGGAGGGCCTTACACTTGTCAGAGAGGTACACAAAGTATGTGATCTCGACTACTGCTTGTCTGACTTTCATTCTGTGGAAGCAGCGGTGGCTGAGTGGGTTAGATTACTGACTTTGTGTACTAGCGATTAGGTGCCTGATTCAGAGTGTGAGTTCAAATCCCGGATGGGACACAGCCTAATAAAAGCGCTAGAATCTCTACTTTACGGAGAAAGTGTAAACCTAAATATAACTTGTTAAAGTGGTTAACAGTTTGACCACCATGACAGGCTATCGAGTGACGCAGATGCACTATAGTGTTGGACATTGTCACATATTACAAACAAGATGAAATGTCTGGAGTATTTCTCACTTTCAGTTGTAAATTTTTCTCTCAAAAGAGCAAAAAGTAAAACCTACAACACAAACTGAACTTTCCTCCTGATATCTCTGGGTTTAAATGTGTTATTGATAGCTGTTATGGCCCATGTAGTGAGTGCAGGCACAGTAAACACACGAATGTGAGTTTATGGGCTGGTGCAGCTGTGACACTATCAACGGCCCGAGCTGTAACAAACTGTAGGCCTAAGGACCACAATATAATGTGATGCAGATTTATGGAAGAAAATCCCCAAAACAGGGCTGCCATAGGAAGTGTAAATGGGATACCATATCAGACACTGGGATGCCAGAGGTGTGACAGGGAGCAGGATGCCAGAAGTGAGAAGGGACTGGGATGCCAGGGGTGAGATGGGAGTGGGATGCCAGAAGTGAGAAGGGACTGGGATGCCAGAGGTGAGATGGGAGTGGGATGCCAGAGGTGAGATGGGAGAGGGATGCCAGAAGTGAGATGGGAGAGAGATGCCAGAAGTGAGATGGGAGAGGGATGCCAGAAGTGAGAAGGGACTGGGATGCCAGGGGTGAGATGGGAGAGGGATGGGATGCCAGAAGTGAGATGGGAGCGGGATGCCAGAGGTGAGATGGGTATGGGATGCCAGAGGTGAGATGGGTGTGGGATGCCAGAGGTGAGAAGGGAGTGGGATGCCAGAGGTGAGAAGGGAGTGGGATGCCAGAGGTGAGATGGGAGTGGGATGCCAGAGGTGAGATGGGTATGGGATGCCAGAGGTGAGATGGGAGAGGGATGCCAGAAGTGAGATGGGAGAGAGATGCCAGAAGTGAGAAGGGACTGGGATGCCAGGGGTGAGATGGGACTTGGATGCCAGAAGTGAGAAGGGAGTGGGATGCCAGAGGTGAGAAGAGAGTGGGATGCCAGAGGTGAGATGGGTGTGGGATGCCAGAGGTGAGAAGAGAGTGGGATGCCAGAGGTGAGAAGGGAGTGGGATGCCAGAGGTGAGATGGGAGTGGGATGCCAGAGGTGAGATGGGAGAGGGATGCCAGAAGTGAGATGGGAGAGAGATGCCAGAAGTGAGAAGGGACTGGGATGCCAGGGGTGAGATGGGACTGGGATGCCAGAAGTGAGATGGGAGTGGGATGCCAGAGGTGAGATGGGTATGGGATGCCAGAGGGTATGGGATGCCAGATTCCAGAGATGGGTAGTGGGATGCCAGAGGTGAGAAGGGAGTGGGATGCCAGAGGTGAGAAAGGGAGTGGGATGCCAGAGGTGAGAAGGGAGTGGGATGCCAGAGGTGAGAAGAAGGGAAGCGGGATGCCAGAGGTGAGGCGGAGCCGGGATGCCAGAGGTGAGGCAGGTATGGGATGCCAGAGGTGAGAGACGGGTATGGGATGCCATAAGTGAGATGGGAGTGGGATGCCAGAGGTGAGATGGGAGTGGGATGCCAGAGGTGAGATGGGAGCGGGATGCCAGAGGTGAGATGGGTATGGGATGCCAGAGGTGAGATGGGTATGGGATGCCAGAGGTGAGAAGGGAGTGGGATGCCAGAGGTGAGAAGGGAGTGGGATGCCAGAGGTGAGAAGGGAGTGGGATGCCAGAGGTGAGAAGGGAGTGGGATGCCAGAGGTGAGAAGGGAGCGGGATGCCAGAGGTGAGGCAGGGCGGGATGCCAGAGGTGAGACAGGGAGGCGGGATGCCAGAGGTGAGACAGGTATGGGATGCCAGAGGTGAGATGGGTATGGGATGCCATAAGTGAGATGGGAGTGGGATGCCAGAGGTGAGATGGGAGTGGGATGCCAGAGGTGAGATAGGAGCGGGATGCCAGAGGTGAGATGGGAGAGGGATGCCAGAAGTGAGATGGGAGCGGGGTGCCAGGGTGAGATGGGAGAGGGATGCCAGGGTGAGATGGGAGAGGGATGCCAGAGGTGAGATGGAAGAAGGGATGCCAGGGGTGAGATGGGAGAGGGATGCCAGGGGTGAGATGGGAGAGGGATGCCAGAGGTGAGAGATGGAGAGGGATGCCAGAGGTGAGATGGGAGTGGGATGCCAGAGGTGAGATGGGAGTGGGATGCCAGAGGTGAGATGGGAGTGGGATGCCAGAGGTGAGATGGGTATGGGATGCCAGAGGTGAGAAGGGAGTGGGATGCCAGAGGTGAGAAGGGAGTGGGATGCCAGAGGTGAGATGGGAGTGGGATGCCAGAGGTGAGATGGGAGCGGGATGCCAGAGGTGAGACTGGGAGTGGGATGCCAGAGGTGAGACTAGGAGTGGGATGCCAGAAGTTAGATGGGAGTGGGATGCCAGAGGTGAGACTGGGAGTGGGATGCCAGAGCTAAGAGTGGGTGTGGGATGCCAGAGGTGAGACTGGGAGTGGGATGCCAGAGCTAAGAGTGGGAGTGGGATGCCAGAGGTGAGACTGGGAGTGGGATGCCAGAGCTAAGAGTGGGAGCGGGATGCCAAAGCAGAGAGCGGGATGCCAGAGCTGAGACTGCGAGTGAGTGAGTGAGTGAGTTCCAGTCATATCAGGACTAATGAGGGAGGAATGGCCCAAGTGAATCAGGTCATCGGCCTGTCCCAATTCAGTGGAAGTGGAGCTGGCAGAACAGGGTAAATATAACTCCTTAGTGAAGGAAAGTCACTGTATGTGTGTTCCCACTACAAAGAGCTGATTCACTAAGACAATACACTATTCTATTTGTAGGAGCAACACTTGTAACACACACAGCATGGGGGAGCCATGCTGGTATCTTAAGCACTAACTTCCTATCATCAGGATTGTGTGGCATAAACAATTAAACACTTAGGCTGTCAGAAATATATCTTTCATTCTACTATAGTCACGAGAACAAAAGTGAGAACTCAAGAGTAGTTCTAGTTTTACCTAATAATAATTTAAAATGTGGCCTGTAGCTACCTGATTTGTTTGTTTATTTGTTCATTGTTTAACGCTGCTACTGGAAGAGTGAGTGAGTGAGTTTGGTTTTACGCCGCTTTGAGCAATATTCCAGCAATATCACAGCGGGGGACACCAGAAATGAGCTTCACACATTGTACCCATGTGGGGATTCGAACCTGGGTCTTCTGCGTGACGAGCCAACGCTTTAACCACTTGGCTACCTCACCGCCGCTACTGGACTGACTGACTGAGTTTGGTTTTACGCCGCTTTTAGCAATATTCCAGCAACATCACGGCGGGGGACACCAGAAATGGGCTTAACACATTGTGCCCATGTGGGGAATCGAACCCGGGTCTTCGGCGTGACGAGCCAACGCTTTAACCACTAGGCTACCCCACCGCCCCCGCTGCTACTGGAAGAACATTTGTAAGAACATACGAGTAAATAACTCATTTCTTATGGTTTTGGAATACAGATGCCAAATGCACTGAAAGTTTAAAACAGAAAGTCTGTGCCTTGAACCAGAGGCCATATAATAGATGGTCTTTGCTTGAACTAACTTAACCCTAATAAGAAAATCCAGTCTAAAACACTGTTTTCACAGCAACTATTCTGAGCCATATTTCATAACATGACCCTAAGTGTTCTCAAAATGGAGGCCTGCCAAAAGAAGATACAATGGCAACCCTGTCTTAAAGTTATGGATCACATTTTTTTCATTCTTGCCAAATTCCAAATTAAAATTCTCATGTTTTACCGTCTCCTTCTTTCATGCCTTATTCACACAACTGACCTTGACCTTCAATGCAACCAGTTTTAATGTTAAAGTAGCTTTTTCAAGAGCTACAGACAATATAAAAATGAAGAATGGAAGAATGTGTGGTAAAAATTGAGGCTGATTCCCTTAAAAGTTGAAAAATTACATTTTCAATTTTTTTTTTATTGCATCTAATTTTTTTGTGTATATTTATGGTTAACTCATCTGCATAACAAATTTCTAACAAAGATAAAACAATATTATTAGTTGTTAGCAAGATCACATCAGATAATAATAATAGTTTTATCTATCTTGTCTTGGATATCAATATTTTGCCATGTATCACTAATGCTTGACAGCACAAGTGAAATAATAATTTCCACAGTAGTGACAAATTAGCTGCCTGTGAAACTTAAGGGGTGGAAATTCTTCCTCTGAAGTCAAACATCTATCACCCATATTGTAACACTTCTGGAGATGATAGTCTAATGGCAGCCAAATGAGCTGCTTCAGAAGATATAGACATGCCAACAACATTACTCTTGTAAATCAGACCTTCAGAAGTGTCAGCTTTAAAGTCTAAACACTAGTGGAAACTGTTGGGCTTGCAATGCCTTTAAGCTTCCTGACAGCGTTATCAATAAAATGTGTGATGTTCAAGGACCTGCACTAATAGTAGATGGTCCAACAGATGAGCAATGATGGGAGATGACGATACAAACATTAAATAAAAAGACAGATCACATGACATAGATAGCTTTGTTTGTTTGGGGATATGGAACCAGAGACTGGTTGAACTGGAAGCTGGAAAGGGTAATGGTGAGGTGAGGTGAGGTGAGGTGAGGTGAGGTGAAATTGGGTTTAACGTCGTGCATGAGAATATTTCGCTCATATGATGACGTGCATGCATGTGTATGTGTATGTGCGGCTGCTTGTACTAGCCCAGACTTAAGCTGGTTTTATAGTGCTAGCCCACTGAGATAACATGCCGCAGTGAAGCAGGAATACCCCACTCAGACACATTATACTGACTCCGAGCCGACCAGTCCTTGTTGTACCCATTAATGCCGAGCGCCAGGCAGGGACCAACAAGTACCATATTTTAACGTCTTTTGGTATGACGCGGTCGGGGATCGAACCCGCGACGTTCTCTCTGGGCAGACGCTCTAACCACTACACCACAGAGGCGGTGTCTAACATGATAAAGGTGAGGTGAGGTGAAATTGGGTTTTTTCGTCGTGCTTGAGAATATTTCGCTCATATGACGACGTCCAACATGATAAAGTGAGTGAGTGAGTGAGTATGGTTTTACGCCGTTTTTAGCAATATTCCAGCAATATCACAGCGGGGGACACCAGAAATGGGCTTCACACAATGTGCCCATGTGGGGATTCGAACCCGGGTCTTCGGCGTGACGTGCCAACACTTTAACCACTAGGCTACCCCACCGACCCCAAACATGATAAAGACACTCTTGAGTGTGTAATAGTGAGTGAAAGAGTGAATCAGTGAGCATGTAATAAATTAAAACCTTAACCTAAACTGAACTATCTTCCAATCAACTCATTGCCTTTAAGCGAGTGAGTCAAGTTTTACGCCGCTTTTAGCAATATCATGGTGGGAGATACCTGAAAAGGGCTTCACACATTGTACCCATGTTGGGAATCGAACCCAGGTCTTCTGCGTGACTAGCGAACACTTTAACCACTTTGCTATCCCACCGCCCCTTTAAACGACACTCACACAGTTTATGCCATTATCAATCAGGTACATGTACTTCAAAAGGGCCTGAAAATCACACGACAGCTTCATACATACATAGTAAATACTTGTGTCCAAGCAATCTCTGATTATGAAAGGTATTCCAGAAATACCAAAACTATTAATCTCACCCCATTGGAAGCATTTGACAAGAAGTATCAGCGGCACCTCTGAAGACATGATAACTCTGGCACATCCATCACTATATGTCAGTGCATCTCAGTGCTTCACTCCAGGGGAAGACTGTGCTGATTGGTTGGGGAACAAGCACCTGCACATAGATCATGTGTAAGTATCACACTGGTCAAACACACCCCTGGTTTATGAACAGGAGCTGTGATGTATCTGACTGGCACATTGAGATAGACTGGAATACATGTTTCATTGCCACTTAAATGTCTATAATAGTCTTAACCATGATGGTTGATGTTGGAGTTTAGTACCAGTTTATGTTGATTTTCCGGGTTAGAATCACATTGCCTCTCTGACCTACTATTTATGATATTTTGATCATAAATGTCTATATGAGTCATTTTCACAAGAGTGTAACTTTGAAAATATGAAAACAGAAAAAATAATTGTGGGGTAATGATGATTTATTAATTGATTTTGTAAAAGTATCAAGTGAAGTTGATGAATTCACAAAAATGCAAGCTTAACCTTTATTAGATATTTTTTTAAAGATTGTTTTTCATGGTAATTACATGAAAATTGTCCTTACTGTTACCACCATTAAAAGCTAATAAAAATGGTTCTAATTAAAATTCATATCTATATTTTTGGGCAAAGATAAGAAAGTCTTGTTTCAGTGGCATTTTTAGAAGTCGAGATGTACAATATAGAACAAGTTTTTATGGATAACAACTTCACGAAATAAAGAAGTTGTTATCCATAAAAACTTGTTCTATATGATAAGAAAGTCGTTATATTTTATAATAAATTGAAAAAAAGTAAAAGTGATTGGTTAAAAATAATTTTTTTTAGAATTTGCTTTGGTGGAAAAACGAGAATGCTGCCAGCTAAGTTACCTATTATGTTGTATGAACTATATGTTCCATGCTCCATTACCTTTGAGAGTCACAAGTCATATGTAGGTGATTTCAAAATATTTCACATGTGTTTGTAAAATCTGCAAAATAAATCTGAACAATAGGTATGGATATTGACGGCAACAGTAAGGACGACAATGGTAACAATTGCCATCGCACGGCGCGTAAAAACGAACAACGTTGCATGAAAAAGACGTCTTGCGGGACGTCGCTTTGTAAAATATTTTTTTTCTTATTTATCGCTACAAAAATCATGGGAGACATCTCACTATATCGAGGGGTTAGTGCCAGAACACAGGATGGCCTAAAACTCTGGTCGGGCCGGGCCAAAACAGGCCAACTATATTGTTGGCTAATAAATCCAGTATCGTAAACTATGCCTACAATTAATAAATGGAACAAACATTCATGATGCTAATGATCAACCAGAAGCCACAAATGCGCACAATAATCACTTTATTACGAGTAAATCGCTTAAAACGCAGGAAGACGAGCGGCCTCTGAACGTGGCTGACCAAGGTTACATCTAAAAGAAGAATCGTAAATCGAAACAGGATTTAAAACACATAAATACTTCAGTCAATCCCGATAAACATTTCTGTCAACCCGAAAATGTTTTTACATCTATATCCAATTAAATACCACCCTAGAAGGTCACTGTTCATTGTATGTAAAACATGCTCATCTGCAATGAAACGATCTCTTCCCCACACACTCAACACAATCTCCGCCACTATTGTTCGGTCTGGCATGGCCCTGGCCATCAAAAACAGCTAAAACCTCAAACATGTACCTTGAATTGTATTTTAATTCACACATTAGTATTATATCTACCTAAATATGACTTTGTGATGTTGCAAAATGCCACATGTAAAGATAACTGGTCCGTTAAAGTAAAGTCCTTGTCTCTCTCCATTCCCAACATAGCCTCAATCAAAAGTGTTTAGTCTCTGTTGGGCCCTACTTGGCTCGGGCTGTCAAAAGCAACTCAAACCTCACACATGTATCATGAAATGTATCCAGATTCATTGATTAGCATTATATCTACCTACATATCACTGTATAAAGTTCCAAAACGTAGTATTTGGGGCAAACACGCTGCTCAAAGTGAAGCCCTCTTTTCTATATTCTCAACACAGTTGCTATATCACAAGCTTTCGGTCCAGCTTGGTCTGGGCTCTCAAAAGCACCTCACCTCAACCACACTTCACATATGTATCTGAATTTTAATTTAATCCATAGATGAGCATCATGTCTACCTAAACGCCACATTGTGATGTTATAAAATGCCACATGTAAACACCATATCACAGTATTAATATTAATTCCTTCTTGTTGGCATTTATTCGAAAGAACAGCAGGTACCAATTTTATTGCAAAGTATACGGTAAATGAAGGTTCTGCATTAAACTGACTGACTGAGTTTAGTTTTACGCCGCTTTTAGCAATATTCCAGCAATATCACGGCGGGGGAAACCAGAAAATGGGCTTAACACATTGTGCCCATGTGGGGAATCGAACCCGGGTCTTCGGCGTGACGAGCCAACGCTTTAACCACTAGGCTACCCCACCGCCCCGTTCTGCATTAAACCGACGCCAAGACCTTCTGGTACATTGTTAATGAACGTATTGAATGAATGCAAACTTCAACAATAACTAAAAACGGTTCGAGAGCACATATAATCATTCCCAACAGTTGCTGCTCACTACACCCGGCGAGATACAAACAGAAAGTTTTTGGGATCGACATTAAATATAAAAAAAATGTACGAACTGTACAAAGACAAATGCACCAGTGATGCTACCAAAGCAGTGTCATCATCACTTTACATGAAGGTGTTCACCGATTCTCAATAAAACAATTTCTAAGCACGACGTCGATTTTATATTTTTGTTGTAGATCATTCTTGTGTATTTTTGCACGACGTCGTAGGCAATGTCGTTGTCAACGTCTTTTTTATGCGACGTTCGGTTTTTATGCGCCACGTTGATGGCAATTATATTACACCATAAATAAGTGATACTCTTATTGACATCTATGACATTTAAAAAGATATGCGGTTCTGGAAATATCTTTTTACTTCTATCCCTTCACAACTTACATAATCTTGTAACTTAAACGTTTCTAAGGACTATTATAAGATAAATTTGTTTCAGTGAACCCTTCAATTTTACATTATGCCTAACACTATACTGTTAGCAAAACACAAGTTTTGGTGAAAATTTGGATTAAAGTTGAAATTTTCCAGCAATGACTAAAGGTTCCAATAATTTTTACAATGAAAAAACATGGATACAGAATTACAAATATTATCAGTAATTTAAATATAAATATTTATTGATTTTGAATAATTTTGTCCACACTGTTACTTTTTTGTGTCAATACTGTGACCAAACATTAAGTTTCAATTGAACATTTCGATTAAAGTTGATATTTTCCAGCAATGATTAAAGCTTCCAATATTTTTTACCAAACAAAAAGCATGAATAAAGAATAAAAAATATTATCACCATTTAAAAAATATATTATTTTGAATAAATTTGTCCATGCTGATACTTTTTTAGTTCCATATTGTTAAAGAAAATAACAACATTGATGAACATGTAATTTAAACGTTTACGTAAAGGGTCATACATAGCTTTAAATATACTGGACAAAAATAGCTGGGGATATATGTAAATTTTGAAATTATGAATAATGGTCTATTTATTCATTGACACACTGATAAAATATCAATCATAAAAATACCAATATCCCTAACTTATTTTGTCCAGTATATAAATAATAGCAATTATTGTCAGTTTCAATCTTATTTTTGTAGAAATTTGTCACTACTGTTACTGAATTTGTCCATACTGTTACCAAGTGTTAATAAATCAACAGTAAACTCTTTGAGAATAATGTTTTTTATTGACAATAAAAAATATTTCAAATGTTTATTCTGAGTAATATCAGTGAAGGATTTCGAAACACAATGACAAATATGTCTTTAAGATCCTTTTTAGAAAAATACAAATGTTCATATTGTTACTGAAGTTGTCCTTACTGTTACTGGTTTATATGGTAACAGTAAGGACAATTCTTAAGAAATTATTCAATATTTAATGAATGCTCCCTTCAGATCCCTAAAAGCACTTGTTGATAGGGACTAATAAACAAGTCAAATTACATGCAAATTGATTTTTTTTACAAACTTATTGTCTATACCTAAACACAAAGTAACAGTATGCACATACTTGTGTGACTTGATTTAGTACAATCAACTTTTCACTTACTTGAGATCAAAATATGGCTAAATGTTCAGAGGACCCAAAACATGCTGTATGCCATTTCTGACATTTCTAGCAGGGGTTGCAGAAGGTACTTTTACCATTTCCATTGCTGCTTGGAACATTGTATAGCTTTGGCTGTTCATAGTCTTAGTATTTTCTATTTTCTGTATAGGTAGGTTTGCAGTTAAACATGATGACCTCAGTCTATTCATAAAATCCATAACCCAAAGATACTCATTTGAATGAATTCGTGGTGTCTCTTTCATTGACTTATTTCTGAAGATACAGAAGATTTTATTGTCTCTTCTTTCACTAAACATGGAAAACATCATCCAAGTCAATCATGGTAAATACTTGGGGGAAAAAGAGTATTTTGAAAACAAACCATTATGTAACATTATTTAAACATTTTGCAACATCTAGCACAATATCGCAGGTTACCTTGTAAGGCAGCATCTTGATTGATACATGCCAATAAAGTGTTAGCTTTCAACAACAGGTGTAAGGTCCTTGCTAAGGGTCTTGCTAAGCCAGGAGGTAGAGGAAGCAGACGACTAAATTGTAAACAAAGGGAGATAATCAGTAAAAACAAGTTCCTCTTTGTTACTAACATGAAGCATCATGGATGGCAGGAAGCAATGGATACTGACTGACTGAGTTTAGTTTTACGCCGCTTTTAGCAATATTCCAGCAATATCACGGCGGGGAACACCAGAAATGGGCTTAACACATTGTGCCCATGTGGGGAATCGAACCCGGGTCTTCGGCGTGACGAGCCAACGCTTGAACCACTAGACTACCCCACCGCCCCAAG